TGAAGCCAGCCCGTTCACCTGGAATCAAGCTCCAGTCAGAACTACTAGTGTTTAGCGACTTTACCACTCAGCTACTAATGGACAGACGGACACCAGGATAAGGTCTTAGAACTTCATGTAAGACTTGAAGTATATATCCACTTTTTATTTATGGATCATAATGCTAGTCCACATTGAGTAAAGCTCAATGATAAATTCCTTGAAAGTGAAGACATTGAGCAAGGCAGCAAAATTTTCTGATCTTAACCCAACAGAGAATTTATGAAATTACCCAAGGAAAGCATTTGCAAAAAGACATCCTCCTCCTAGACATGTAAATGCTCTTAAGACACCTGGAGGAGTGCTGGAAGAAGTAACTTCTGAACCGCAACAATGTATTGAAAAAATCTGTGATATTTATGTACACGTTGTACACAAAAAAGGGGAAACATTTTTATATCTCCCATTTTATTGGGTCAATTGACAAAATTTAACTTGTGTTTTTCATGTCTCGAAAGCATGACTTAGGGATACATTAGTTTTATACATAGCACTATTTTAACATTGGTATTTGGACATAAAATCGGACTTTTTCTGAAATTACAACTATTTTGTTTTTCATAATTTGATTCGATGCCTCAAATTATGCCTAAATATTAAATTTTGTAAAATGTGATGAGAAAATTATTGAGAAATTTTTTAATTTATCTTGTCACACTATTTTTAGTTTTATTCTTAATTTATGGTAACCATTGTTCTTTTCCCTTTCACTGCAGGCGAGTGGAATAAAAGATTGCATTCATTTCAAATATTTTAACAAAGGACAACATAACCTAATGTGTTGTAAAAAAGCATCAAAGTTAAAAAAGGTGCATCAATTAAAATTTGAACCTAAATTTGAATAACAAATTTTTTTGCAGGTGCCTGAAACCCTAAAATGATGACAAACTTTTCAGCTCAAATTCATTTTTTTTTTTTTTTCAATGACATTCAATTTTCTATTATTTTAATATTAGATGAAAAATCACTCTGAATGATTCATGGCCTTTGTTTTTAGGTGAGATAAATGCATAACTACATCATAACTTTTTTCTGACCTTGGTATCTAATCCTTCGTACCATGATAAAGCTCAAAGTTGTAAATTAAATATGCACAGCATTCATATTCTTAATCTACACTGGGTTTCAGACACAGTACAAGTCTGAAATCCGGACGTCTATTATCCGGAAGCTAAAATCTGGACCTCAAAACCACCAACAACGTTTTCTCGTAGGTTTTACGCACACGCATTTGATTTCCCCCCCTCCACGCATAAAAACACCTGGCGAGTCCCGATTCTAATTTCACTCAACATTAAATAAAACTTTGTTAGGAAAAACATTCATTTGCATAATGTACATTGTAAACCGTAACCCGCTGCTGCTGGCAACATCTCAACCGTATATTCCCCAGATACTCTGATCTGCACGCCAACCAAACATTTAATTTTATACTGCCTTTCATCACACATGCGTTTATCAAACATGAAAATGAGTATGAGCATGACATGACGTCAACAATTTTTAAGGTTAGATAGTTTGGATATGATTGTGGTAATTTAAGTTGAAACACGCAAAAATTTATTGCCGAAAATAAAAAAATTTACCAAATTTCTTTCCATATGCTAAAAAATTTGTGAGGAACTAGACACAAATTACATTAGGCTATTTGAATTTGATTGCTATTTGATTAAGAATAACTGAAATGTCATTCACTTAAACCCAGAACCAGCAACAAGGCACGTATGGCCGCATCGAGTAGCAGAATTTAGGACCCACAGAAACTGCATCAGGCAGTCGCCGGCCCTGACTAAGGCTTAAGTATATGGTGGGAATTTATTTATTCAGAAATCTGTTAAGCCTTAGACATCAATCTGTTACAAACTTCACACACTTTGCACTGTGTATGAGATTTAAAAGTTCATCTCCGCTAAAGTGGACTGAGGACAAAATAGCGATTTTTTTTTTGTTCCGCATGGAACACTTTTTTGAACCTGCTCTTCCTATTTGATAAGGAATACAGCTAAAAGGGTGAGCTATATAGTGCATTATCTAGTTTTGGAGCACACTATTAATATTACTATTAACCTAAAGAATGACAAGCTGTCTATAAGAAGGATAAACTGATAAAAAGCATTTGGGAAATTGCAACTTAAGTTATTACATGCTTTAGAGGAAAGGAAGAAAATGGATCCTGATGATCTCAGTCATTCAAGTGGTTGTTGGTTATTTCAATGTTAGGCTGCTTCAGGCATTTTAGTCATGAAAAGGTTAATAGAAAATTACATATTTTCAATACTTTATTTCAATTACTTATTTTGATAAATGCAAACCAATAAATATGAAAAAGTGATTAAAATTTTTATTCATTGAAGTGTGCATTAAAAAGATTGAATTTCTTAGCTATAAAATAAAATTCTCATTGTATACATTTGACTGTAAGTTCAATTATTGAGAATAATTTTCCCTCATATAAAGACTGAAAAAGTGAGATATCTTAGTAGTATGTATTAGTACTAAGTAAGTGTATTTATTAGAAAATAATTCTCAAAAGAGATGAAAAAATAGAAAAATCCAATAAGTTAATATAAATAACTTTATTGTTTACATGAAATTGGATAAAAATAATTCTGACACTTGATTGGATTAGTGAATTACAGTAAAGCAATTAGCAATTAAAAGTATCTGCCTAAAAGGAGAAATATTTTCATGAAGCACTTCTAAAGAAAACTGGTACATTAAGAACATTTAATTTTCTGGGATAAACTACCAATGTGCATAGCTTTAGCTATTTGACATCTGGTTCGCCCAATATGAAGATTAATTGTTTCTTACTGTAATATGCAAATGATTCTCAATGGGTACTTTTCCATTATGCACTTATCATGCATTTTGGTGTTTTTTTTTTTTTTTTTTTAGTTGTAAGAAGTTTCTAGTGATAAGAATAGTTTATAGATACATACACAGACACAATGATTTGCTGGGTCTCGGCATATGCCTGGTTTCACTTTCAGAAGCGAAAGAAAGCATGGGAGATACATAACAGAAAAGTAACGATCAGTGTACAAAGACAAAAATAACCTGAATACAGTCAAAATTCTTTAATCTGGACCTCAAAGCTACAAACTTTCTGTGCATGCGTAAACGCATAATGCGTATATGCATGTGCATAATACGTTTACGCATGCGCGTTTAATGTATAACAGACGGTATAAGCTAAGCTAAAATTATCTAATTATCTATTTCAGTTAATGTTGCAGATTGCATTGTTCCTTAGTCTTCTAATTGGATCCGGCTTATTATTTTTTGCAGACTGTTAGAGCAATTTATAAAAAGTAAGCTTGAACTTTCAATTATGTCAAATAGAATTTCTGATATATATTTACTAATATGTAAAGGATCTACAAAGCGAAAGTATATTTCGAAGTCCATTAAACTAAGCTAAAATTATCTAATTATCTATTTCAGTTAATGTTGCAGATTGCGTTGTTCCTTAATCTTCGAATTGGATCTGGCTTATTATTTTTTGCAGACTGTTAGAGCAATTTTATAAAAGTAAGCTTGAACTTTCGATTATGTCAAAAAGAATTTCCGATTCTGGAGATGCCAAAGGATCTACAAAGCTAAAGCATGTTCCGAAGTCCATCAAACAAAGAGTGGAATTGTTGCAAAAAATGGATAAAGGCATATTCTTTGTTTTTCTAACCATTCCGAAATCTGTTTAGCAATTTCACGCTGCGCTGGGGGGGGGGGGGTCGTGGAGCGCAATGAACTGGAAGTTGATCTGTCAGCACTATCCTTATCTTCAGGGCAGATGTTTTTATTTTATTTGACTTATAATTCCTTACTAAATGTAGTATTTCATCTTGATGTTTACCGTCTTTGATATGATTTAAATCAAATTCCTCGTCATTATAAATATCACGAATACACATCAAATAGTGTTTTCTGGTTACAATTTTCTAATTTTGACTATGTGTAATAGATGCTTTACACATGCGCACGTTGAAAGAAATGTTTAATAAAGTAAACAAATAAATATTAAGCTCTTTTTTTTTTTTTTTTGTTAATTTTGATACCCTTTAGATCATAATTGCTCTTTATTTAATAAATTATGGTTTCATATTTTTAATTTTATAACTTCTGCATGCCATCTTACCAGATTTAAACTGATGATCTATAGTCCGGAAAAATCGATAATCCGGAATCGCCAAAGTCCCGACGAGACCGGATTAAAGACTTTTGACTGTATACGACAAATTATTGCATTCTCTTTTAAAAGCAAACTATTTTATTTACAAACTTCATTCCTAGCATGAAAAAAAAATCTGGTACTTATTCCACCAACCATGAAAGTTGGTGGAGATACTGTCAAAGTTGTACCAGTCTTTCATGCATAATTCTGTGCAACACTGCTATCCTCAACTATTAGAATAAAATATAGTCATACACTTTCCACACATAGCCCCTGTTGAGGAAGTATTTAATTTTCTTCATTTTTGTGCTTCATAAAAAGGTTTTTGTTAATTTCCATTATTTGGTAATGTCCTCTGATTTTACCAAAAATTCTGTTTAGAATGCTGTGGGTACAAACTTCTAATGTATTACTATTTTATTGGCTATATTAAACTGTTCCCTCCCTTTCAACAAATGTTAATTTGCCCAGCTGTAAATGAATCCGAATTTGATCAAAAATGAGGTTCTACAGCCCTTGAACTCATTTTTTTAAATAAAAATCAAGGAAAAAATACAGCAATAACTGTAAATTCAAATCCTTGTTCATAAAAAAAAATGCTGGCTTATCAGGAATCAATTAGGGTCACATCAAATGAAAGGGCAGATGTTATGACGTCACAATTATTCATAATTGGCACTAAATCATGCTCCTCAGTGACAGTTTCATGGCTGACAAGATAATACATATGTATCAAAAGTTTCTTTTGGCATTAATTAGGGATATTTACAAAAATATCATAGCTTACCTCTTGATCTTTTATAAGAATTTCAGCTTCTGCTTTCAGTTTCTGAAGATCATCTTCCAATTCTTGAACAGAAAGAATAAGATTTGATGGACTGAACTGCAGAAATTCAATAAAATCTTTTTATTACATCCAACAAACAAGCACACAAAATATAGATATTTAATTTGTCTTGAACATGAATGAAGGACTATCATGGAAATTTCTCCATGCATGAAAAATAAAATAGCTATAAAAAATTTGAAGCTTTATAAGAAAATTCACTATGATTCTTTTAGTTATAAGTATCAAAAAATTTCTTTAAAAAATGTTATTATATAACATAACTCAAAATTTTAATCTTATCCATAATTTTTTTATGTCAAAACATATAGAGTGAAAAATACCTAAGATGCCACCCACTGTGCTAGAGAGTTTTTATCTTGTTTTAGATATGCATTTTCAAAATTGATATTTATGTTATGAAAAATAATACAGGCAGTTAAGAAGGAGTTTAGGGAGGTGGTTTCCACTATTTAAAAGGATCCCTAATTATTATATCCATAATTCTAATTGACATTTTTCGAAAAAGGTTTTTAAAAAAACAAAAGAGGAAGTCCACTAAATTAGGTAACATTTAATACTATTTCATTACATATGTGGCACTCATTTTTTTTAATGATATGTCTTTTATCTACAGACAAAAATAAAATAACTGAATCTTGGATAATAGCCTGTTAAATAACAGTCAACAAAAATGCACATTTATATCCAAGGTTTTATTGCTTTCATATTGTGAGAACCATACCATAACTTATAATCTGTAAATGCTTCAATAAAAATATATTTAAATATTTTCTGCTTTGGAATTATTACAAATTCAATACTTTGTAGGGTACAACTCTGATATACACCGTAATTTCACCAAATGTGGCAATATGTGTTCTGCGCTGGTTTTGGGCCCAATTGCATGTTGTAGGGCAAACCTGTTGACGTTGAAAAATCTTTTGCTGGAGCTCGTTGGTTCCCATCAAGCTCATTGGTTCGCATCTGTGTCTCAGAAGGTAAAATGGTGCAAGTTGTTGAATTGAAGTTCGGCAAAAGGAAATATCATTGTGGCCATCCTGTTAAGGGGCAGTGGGTATTTGGAGATGTAGAAAGAGGGTCTGGGAGATTATTTTTAGTGGCTGTGCATGATAGAAATAGGCATTTGTGATTTTATTTATTTGTGAACCATAGTATCAATTTTCTGGATAGTGTATCTGCCTGTCATATAAATACGATAGTGATGACGTGGCGGCACGTTAAAGGCGGTATGAAATTGGTATTTCTGCTGTTCGAAAAAGCATTAATTCATGGTGTGTGCATTTTATTTTATTCTTGTTCTTATTTTGAAGAATGTTATGTCATTGTTTTTTTAGTATGAATTTCTGTCGTTATTGTTGTTTTTTTAATTGTTTGAAATTTATTTTAGTTATTTTAGTTTATTTTGTTGATTAGTGCGTTTTGTTGTTTGTGCAAATCGTAGATATTTTTTAAAGTTGAAACAGAACGTTGTGTACATGGTATTCTTTGAAATTTATTCTTGTCATATTAATTTATTAAAGCTAGGTGTGCGTAGTTCATAGATTCGTTCGTTGCCTAAATTGTGCAATTCGCAGATTTTTTTTTAAAGTTTAAACATTAATGTTGTGTACATGGTATTCTTTGAAATTTATTGTTGTTATGTTAATTTATTAAAGCGAGGTGTGTGTAGCTTGTAGATTCGTTCGTTGCCTAGATTGTGCGATTCGTAGATTTTTAAGTTAAAACATATCGCTGTGTACATGGATTCCTGTCAAATATTTTTGTTTAGAAACTTTATGTTTTTGCTATCTAATTTTTTGTTTTTGTTTCGGATTTTTAGCTTAAATTGTGTGTTCAAAACGCAGTTTTTGCAAGTGCAAAAACCGCGTTTTTGAAGACATTTTAGGCTTAAAGTCTGAAATGTAGACAACAAATTTAGATAGTAATATGGCAGCGTGGAGTTTCTCGCCAAAAATGTTTGGCGAGAAATTTGGCGACTTGAGGGCGCATATCACAGTACTTCCCTTTGTAGCTATACCAAATGATGATTTTCATGAAATAACTCCTTCACACACACCTCCCTTTTTAGAAAAATGTAAAATATTTTAAAAGAAAGATAGAAAATGCCTTTAAATAAAAACAGCACAAAATGTGAATTTGTGCTTTTACATGGAGTTACGAATGTATTGAGGGATATAAGAATCCTTTCACATCTGTGAAGTTATTAATTCATACACAGAAGAAAAATTTTCTAATTTCTACTGCGTTTCAACTGTCTTGTGTGCAACTTTGTTCTCTAATACTGGTAAATTTCCACTACAGGAAAAATTCGAAATTACTGCCAAAGCAAATTATTTAAAAGTGCTCATAAACATTTTACTTTAAAAATACTATTCCCCTTCTTTATTTTAAGTTCAAAATATCCACAAATTTATTCAGATGTATTTTTAAATTAAACAGAAACAAAAATACAAACCTAAATTTTATAATTTTCCTAACCATACAGCAAATAGGAAAACAATCAGAAAAACAATACAGAGAATAATAATTAAAAGCAGAATATTTTTGAAATATCTATATACATATACATTTACTTACCAAAATGCTGAATCAGCAAGTCCATGCATTATGCAGGGCAACAGCAATGAAGCAGATTACAAGTACATATGGCAGAACAGTGGAAAGAAATCTAATTGCTATCTGTTGGCCACATGATGTCTGTGTATCAATATTCCTCTGTTGAATATATAACTGGCGATTTAAATTATATACTCTGAGAATTTTTCAGAAAACTATAACATGGGTTTGTAAAGACCTCAATTGAATGAATCAGCCAGTATCAGAATACATTTTAAATGTACAGAAATTACATTGCAAAATAGTTGAAAGAACTTATGGTTTCGAGAGATCAACTGTCAAAGACATAGTAGCTATATACAAGAGTACATGTTTTTTCCCTAAATTTGTGTTTTGGCACAAATGCCTATATACAAGATATGTACAAAGTTTTCTTTTAACTATTTTCAGGTGAAATTAAAACTATAAATACACTTTATTTACATCAATATGTAAAGGAACAAATACTTAGTTCTCATCCTCAGATTCATTTGATATAATAGTTGATTCACCAGTCACTCTACATCTATGCAAAATGGCATTTTCAAAAGCTTTTTTCACTGCTTTTCTTTCAGCAGCTTTTTTTGATTCCACAAGTCTGGCTTTATCCAATTTAGAATCTACACCCAGAGGTTCCAGTTTATTTCGTGGAAGCCACTGCCAAGTCCTTTTTGTGTCAAAAAATAATACTAAATATACATTGTCTTCATAATTATTTTTCAATGCAAGTACATCTTCAGGTGGTACAGGAATGGGTACGCCATTATGGAAATATCCAGAATTTGGCATGTTTGGGCTTATGATTAGCGCAGGGTACCATGGATATCCACGGCATTTTGCCCACACTAAATCTAATGGCTGCAACTGGATGAGATGTTGCTGTTCTTCAGCATTAAATTCTAATGAAGTACGTGCTTTCTCTTTCCTTGCAGTTGCTTTTTGACCTTCTTTCTCACTTTCACTATCTGATTGTCCTTCAGAACTAGAACTACTACTGCTAGGTGTTGAAGCACTACTTGATTCAGTATTATTATCAGAATCTGTGCCATGATCTTGGTTGTTAGATCTATATACTTTAAAACTGTCAGTTTGAGGAAGAAGAGACGCCGGAAAAGGGTTCAGACAAACAGAAACAGAGCTGTTTAGTGCCATAGATTTCTTTTTTGATAATTCTCCTTCAACTGATAGACTTGTGGATCTACTTTTCTTTGGACCCTTTTTAGTAACCATAATAGCATCACTTTCTGACTGAGATCGGCTCTGTGCTCTTGCACTTTTACTACGAGTCTCTCGTTCTTTGAGTTCTGATGATTTATCTGTTTCTGGTTCACTAGCTTCTGAACTCAGTTCTTTCATACTCTCTCTTCTAGTCATTATAGAACGACGTGTTCTTGATATTACAGGTCTTTGAGTTACACTGTCTCCGTTTTTAGATGTGGTTTCCATTTGACTATCATTCTGATTTGTTACTGAAATCTGAGGTTTTAAAACTGGAGGAGAAGCACTTTTTAAAGATTTTGGAGATGAAGTTACAGTAGCAACTTTTTGAGACTTTAAATTTGGAGATGAAGTTTCAGAATTAGAAGACACTTTTGGCGATTTTGATAATGAAGGGGGTGGAGGAGATAGTGTTTTAGTCTTAGCACTAGGTGATTTCTGTAACACTTTTTGACACTTTCTTGGTGGTCTACCAAGTCGAGGAGTGATATCAGTATGTTCATCTCCAGATTCAGACGTATGGTTTCTGAGATTTCTACCATGAAAAATTGCTTTGGGGAGTGATGTAATTACGTGTGAATTAACCTTTTCATCATCTTCAGTATCAGTCAAATGACTGTTTTGAACAGATCCTTCTTTTACTGCTCTTCTTAATGGCATTCGCATAATTTTTTTATCTTTAACAGTTGAATACTCCTCTTTAACTTTGATATTTCGTGTGCGTGATAAATTAGCATCATTAGCTTCAACAACAAGATCTTTACCTCTAGTCCTAGCTCTAGATGCAGGTTGTGTAACTACAGTTGTGGGAGATTCATCTAATTTATTCTGAATTTCTGGTTTTTCATCCTTTTCAATGGATATGTCTCGATTTTTCAATCTGTTTCTTGTCAGATTCCTAGGGCTAGCATCATCAGATTTTACTTTCAGATGGTACAGATTTTACTTCTAATTCTACATCTTTATTTTTTGATCTTAATCGACTGCTAGTAATAATATCATTTTCATTTTTTATCTTATCATCTTTAAAATCACATTTTGTTCGCGTCGTATCTTGCTTAGATTCTGGAATGAGCTGCAAATCATCTTGTTTTATTTTTGTTCGTGTTCGATTTATATTTTGTACAGCACTTTCAACATGGACCAAATTCTTATTATCAACAGCATTTACATTTTCTTGATCATTTGAAAAAATTCGACGATTTTTCTTCCGCTGTCTGGCATTATGCAATGAAATCTTTCGTCGTAATATATTTATTTCAGAGCGGAGCCGTTTGGCTCGCTTAGTACGAGAAACCCCAACTTTCATTTTATAAGTCTCATCCAATTTGTGCAAAAGCCTCTCCAGTTGTTTTTCAAGACAAACAGAAAGATCATCTTTAACGTCTTCAACTTCAGAATTCTTTGGGCTATCTTCTACTTGCGTTGTTTGATCACGATACAAGCCAGTTTTGAAATCAAAGTTGGCATTTATATATTTCCTAGCCTCTCGTAAAACAAAACCACCTTGCTCTCTCATTTTTAATGCAGCTCTATAAAACACAGTATCTTTTGAATTATATGACAAGCAGTTTTTTATCATCAAATTAAAATCACTTTCTAAGCTGTCAAAACTATCATACTCATAAGCTTCTACTTTTTTCATCATAGTTGATAAATCCATAGGCTGTTTTATATAATCTAAATAATCAGGGACTTCTACTAAATCCACAGGCCTGGCAAAAATTTCACCAGCATCACGCTCTTGTAACTGTTGTATAACTTCACGCAGTTTGATAATTAATGGTTGCAGTTCCATTTCTGTTGTAAGCTGGTGAGCTCTAATATATTCTCGCTTCAACTTTTCTCTTTTACGAATTAATTCAACTAATAATCTAGCTCTCTCTAAATCCTGTCTTAACTTTTGCCAGTATTGAAGCTGTTCTCCTAAAGATGCCCCTTCTTTATCCAAATCAGGATCTCTGCGAGAAGACTGAGTAGTCTGCAATCTTCTCAACAAAGGAACTCCATTTCTAGACTGCCTTTTTAATATCCAGTATGCAAGTAATCTATCCAAAAATGCCTGCTTCTTTGGCATTGAAACCATACTCGCTATTTTGGTCAACCTCTCTGGTGGTATTGTAGGAAGAGAAACAATTGGGACAGCAGTCCTTTTCTCTGCCAGAATTTTTCTTGCTTTTCTCATTTTCTCCCGTGACTTAGCTTTTGCTTTTGCTTTTTTGAAAGTATCAGTTTTACCACTGTCATCATCTTGGTTAGTATCCATATCAGCAGGGGCATGCACATCACAATATGCGGTCTTACGTACATTATAAGATGTTCCATTCGCATTATTTTCCCTTACAGCTTCCATGCGCATATATAATCCAGCCTGTTGGGCACATGTAACATGGAAAGCAGTGTAACAATTAGCCTTGTGACATTGAATACAAGCACCTACACTTCTTTGTTTACATATATAACAAGATAATTTCCATCGTGCAGGTGGTATGTTTTCAATGCTGTCCAAAGGCTCTAGAAACACTGTGTTAGCAAAACAAACTTCAGGTATCCACAATGCACAAACAACATGTGCCCACCTACCATCATCGGTTTGTTTAAATGCACCTCCTTTATTTGGACAAAGAACGCAATCAACAGCTCGTGATGGTGATTGAAGACATCTTCTACATAGCCACTGTCCTTCAGGTATATATGGTACACCATAACATTCTTGATGTACAGCTAAATTACACATATCACAAAAAAGAATAGCATTAGAATTCTGACATTCACCATCATTACATATGCAACAAACAGCATCTTCATCAATAGATGGATTTGGATCTTTACCTGTTGTCTGACTTTGGAAATAAGACTCCTTTTCAAGACGGTCCATTAAAAGTTCAAATGTATCAGCAGACACTTCAGTTAAATCATCTTTTTTACGTCTATCATTCATTATCTCTAACCATACACAATCTTCCTCATCCATATCATATTCTACATCTTCATCTAACTCTTCCAATGATTTCTCAATAAAACGATAATAAGCTGTGGGCATTGGTGGTGCATCTGGAGCATTATAATCTGGTATGATACGATATGATGCTTCAGGGAGTTTTGGAGCACTGCTTGGTGGTTCTTTTTGCTTTTTTGAAATCTCAGAATGCTTACTAGATTTAGTAACTTTAGCTTTGGTATGTTTAACTTCCACTTTTTCTTGTTTTTGATCATTTTTCTTTTCATTCTCATTTCCATCATGCAACACAAAATCAATAGGTTCACAAATATTTAACTGATGAACATGGCCATTCAAATCAACTTCAACAACTTTTTGAGGTTCATTGTAATGTAAACTTTCTCGTGGACTTGATGAAATTTGCAAGGGAGATGGTGATCTTCGATTTGAACGTGGATGCCATTTCCCTTTCTTTTTTCTAATTTTTGATGAAGGTGAATGTTGGATAGGAGGATTGTCATGATCATAATTGTATAAGTGAAACTGAATACCGGGAAAACTCTTATAAATTTTACCACAAGTTTTTACAGGGCATTCATATGGTGGCTTTGTAGCTCTTAAATTTTGACAAAATGTTTTAATATCAAAATCCAAAACCATTCTGAGAATGAATTTTTAGAGAATTAAAACTTGAAATTCTAAACCACAACATCAATTTGCATATTTTATGAAGATATTGAGCATACTCTTAATTATTACATATCTTTATATGTAAAGTCAGTTTTACATTTAAATAGCACTTCTTACAGTAGGAATACCTTTCGTAAATTCAAGAAAGTATCAGCAGTTACCAACCTGCACTTTTGTATCTTTTTTCAATTTTCCTTCAAGTTCTAATACTATTGTATTAAGAAGCGTTTCAGACTGGTTTATCTAAAGAGAAAAGAAGTAATAAAAGCAGAATATTAGACATGATATTTTATAAGAACATTTCTTATTTTCCTAACAAAAAATTACATACATACATAAAATGCAAAATTTATGGCAAAAAATTTCACCACAGCAGAAATTTTACTGCTTTAAGAAACAGTCTCCCAAACATACACATTCTGTCTTGTATGAACCAGACATTCAGAAAATGATTGCTGTCATAAATGGATACATCACAAATATGGGTATAAAAAATAAATGCCTAAGATCAAAAAACTAAACATCAGTTTACTTGAAAATATCAGAGTTTAATTAGTAAACTGCGATGTACTTAAAAGGGCAAATAATATCATCTTGACCATCATAGGATCATTAGAAAATTTTCTACATGCATTCTGAAACACTGCTGTCAACCTTGAAGTACGGAAAACTGGGAGGTTCTCGAGCCAAAAATCGGTAGTTTCCAGGAGGTTTTCACACTGTGTGGCAACATAATTTTGAAAGAACTCTAAAATGAGTTAAATTCACTACGTAATGAATGATTCAATTAAAATATACTAATAATCAGATTTTAAATTTTATGTTCTATGGCTAATTTTATTTTATAATTTTCTGACACTTTTACACTGAGAAAATCCAGAATAGGGTAGGAAAGCTTTAATTTATAAAAGTACTTTTAAGTATGATGAAAGTAAAATGTATATACTACAGTGTGGATAAACTTTGAAGTGTACCATAAATTAATGTAAGAAAAAATTAAATATTAAATCATATAGTACTTGAATCTTCATGCAAAATGCAACAACTGCCTACGTAGATTAAAATAATTTAGATCAAATAAAATTTCACAAGAAAAATTATGCTGAAAATCACTAGGGGTGAGGGAAAAAATTTGCACAATTTAAATTTTAGTAATTTTAATTTCCTACTGAAAACACTTTCCTCAGAAACGGCTAAAAATTAAATACTGCAAATTTAGTGACCTAATAGGAAACATTATGAAAAACTGGAAGATTTGATACTTATGCTGAAAGTTTGACGATGAAATGAATATTATTTGTTGAAAGCTTAGAAACCAACTCTCTCTTTTATGGCTTACACGTAGCCCTCAAAGCCTACTCATGTAGCCTACATCAAAAAACAATTGACTGAGTAAATGTATGTGACAATGAATTTGGTAATAAAAGCGAGTACTTTTATAGCAATAATGAAATAAAAATGAGTTAACATTAATGTATGTGATGGTTTAAGTAAATGTGCCTTTTTAAGGTAAAATCATTTAATAAACTATTCATATCAGAGAATCATAAATTGTGAAAAATCTCATATGAAGAGTAACAGCAAATGAAGGAGAAACAGGATAATTTAAAATAAGATTAAAAGCCACCTTAGTTTAGAGTAGATTCGAATAAAACACTATCAATTTCAAGAGCAGTCAGACAAAGGTCCATCTTCTTCACAGATAAAACAAAATGTCTTCCTAAATGGGAGACAGAGCAACCATTTTCATATCAAAATGAATGAATGGGTACAGCAAAGCAAACCTGAATGCAGTATCAGCAAAAATAGCAATAAAACATGAAAAAATAAGATACTGGAATTCTAAAAGCAGTACAAAGAACTGTATTGGAATTCATGTCATTAACTGAAGAAAATTTTTTTAGTGTGGAAAGCTTAAAAAAAAAATTCCAGGTACTTACGTATTATTGCCACCAACAAAGTAGAAATTGCCAGATTTTCAAAATGTGTAAAACTCTGGCAACCATGCACGTAACAATTCTTCAAGCAGTCATGCATTTAATAATTTCATCAGTTTTAGCTAACGTCATCATTTTTATATGCATTCTTTTGTTGTATTCAGTTTTTTTAATAGTAATATATTATGTCTTCAACTCAATTTTAATACATGCATATGTGGAATTTGTCTAAGCAATTTTGGGGAAAATAACTGAAAATCTATTTTAAACCTATTCTTAGAGCAATTACCACAAAATTTCTACAAGAGGGGGAAGAATTGCTTTTACGTAGCTTTATTGAATGATTAGCTAGTAAAAAATAACATGCAATATCATAATATGCATATGTGTAATAAATACTTTTTTGGCAATAAGTCATCATTCTTTTCTTCTGTAAAAAAATCACCAAACTACTTCAAGGTGGTTGCACTGATAAGTACCAAATTCAGTTCATTAACTAACGAAGCTCTAAAGATAATCTTTGCAGAATTCAGTACCTAATTATGATTAATTATCAAATATTACATTACTTCTCTTTTTTGAAAAAAAAAAAAAGATTTGTGCTTCTTGATAGGAAATTTTAATAAATTCTTTATCAAAGCTGATATGGTGTGTCTGTTCACATAATCCTATACAGTACAAAGTGTGAGATCTGGACGTCCAATATCCGGAATGATCGAAAATCCGAACCTGAAAGATACCAACAACTTTATTTTTTAATATGCTTTACACATGCACATTTGATTCCCTGCCCCGCACATAATAAAACACGTGGTGAGTCCGGACTCCTAATTTCACTTTGGCACTAAATAAAACACCTCATTATTGAAGAAACAAACATTTTAGCATAAATTTTGTATGATCGAGAACTTGGCTTTAAAGTGTATCCGCTTGGTATACATCTCAAAAAGAAAACATTCCACAGAAATACATCGTTCATTTTACACCTACTAATATTTTATATCCCTGATGCCAACTTGGCGAATCATTATTTATTATATTTTGCTTTCATCACTGCATGTTTATTGGCACATGACAACTTGAGCAATGACTGATGTAGAAATGCCTAAACATTTTTTTAATTGATAGGAAATTGATAGGAAAATTACTAACATAAAAAAAAATGTGTACAGTAATCTTTTGTATTTACATTACGCTTGACGCTAATTACATATTTAAGTTAAATGTGCTAAAAATGTTGACGAGGGAAAATTTAATAAAAATTTCTTTCCATATGCTAAAAACAAATTTTCTTAATGATACTCATAGGCCAAAAGATTGCGTTATTGCTATTTGAATTAAGAATAACTGATTTGCTATTCACATAAACTCAGAACCAGTGCCAGGGCTCATATGGCAGAAGAATTTAGGGAAGACAAAGGGAGACACTTCGGAGCAGAATTTAGGACCTACAGAGACTGCACCAGGCGGTAAGATATCTAGCGCTGGCCCTCAATAAGCCTTAAGTATATGTGGGAATTTATTTAGTGAAGACTCGGATAAGCCTTGTGTAAGAAATAGACATGAGTATAATAAATAACCAAAGGTACTTACAGAAAATCCCGTCGACCACAAGAGACGGCGCCAATTGTGCCAAAAACTCATTTACTATATACTAGAAAAAACGTTCTATTCTTATTTTTCTTTCAAATTGATGGCCTTGATAATAGGCTGTGTGCACAAACTTCTCTCAGTTAATTATTCCAATTTATAACAGTCTTGTCACTTAACTTTAATTCCTCTATTCCCCATTCAATAGTCGTCAGTTCTCTGCACCAACAACAAATGAATCGGTTGCAGTCAAAAATGAAATAGAAACCTCGAACCACGTTCCCCTTTGAATTGAAACTTGGCTTCGCACAAGCCTTAACGTTGCAACATCATTGCTTTTCAGTTTTTAAATAAAGTGCCATTCCGTGGCCATTAACACATTTTTTTAGGCCAGTAAGATTCCATTACTTTGGAAATATTCAACAGCATGCTCTTCTGTAGTAGGCCGGTCCAAAATTTTAATAAATTTTTTTTTTTCCGAAAATGCATGATAGAATGGAAAACAGGAGTAACCCCTCTATCACACATTTAGAATAATAACTAATTACACGTATTAGTTACTATTAGAATAATAACTAATATGTGTAATCAAGGTCACACCAAACCCAGCATGTTTGAAGAAGAATTTTCCATTTTTAACAAAAATCTTTTCTTTAATATGCAAAAATGGTCGACAGATTTTCCGTACGTACCTAATTAAACTAATACAATTTAAGCTTAATTGTCTTAGTACACGATAGAAGCCAGATAAAATTTAGCCGAACAATTTGCCTTTAGTCTCCAATCTCAGGATACATACAAAGCCGAGTCAAATGAAAGTGAGCCAACCCCTCCTCAGCAAGAATAGTCGGTCCATCATCTGCGGCGCATGCGCGAAGCACAGAGACAGCCTTCATTTATGAAAGTGGCGCGAAATTGTGAGGTTAAAGTTCTTTAAGGCGCTCTTACACTGGGTTGAAGACGGTAGCGTGACATAATGGACGCTCCAAAAGAGGAACAGCGTGGTGTGGTCAGGTTTTTGACAGGTGAAGTTGTTTCCCAACATGAAATTAGTCGCCGTATGACTGCTGTGTACGGTGAACATTGCATCGCATTGGCCACTGTGAAGCGTTGGAGCAAACGGTTCAGAGAAGGACCTGAAGGTTGCAAAGACGATCCAAGACTGGGCCAAAGCCACCTTGCAATCACCCCCGACACAATTGCACACGTTGATGAGCTGATTAGAGAAGAACGGAGGATAAGCATCGATGAACTGGCAGAGCGTGTGATTATCAGTCACGGTTCGGTTCACACCATAATTCATGATCATCTTGGTTATCGGCTTTTGTGTGCTCAATGGATGTCCAAGATTTTGAACGACCGCCAGAAGACGGAGAGGTTCGGCGCTGCTTTGACTCATCTCATCCGGTATCACAATGAGGGTGACGAATTCTTGTCCGCAATTGTGACCGGAGACGAATCATGGTGCCACCACTACGTACCTGAAACACGCCGGCAAAGCTTACAGTGGAAACATTTGAATTCACCACCCCCGAAGAAAGCAAAGGCTGTCATTTCCTCGGGAAAGGTGCTATCGACTTTTTTTTCGATCGTCAGGGGCCATTACTGATTAAATTTGCTAAACGTGGAGAG